TGACATATCTGTTTACCAACTATCTTTATATACAAAGTAAAATATGACCTATTTTTGTTTTTACAATTGCGTTAAAACACCTTTTGGTTCCTGCATCAGATGCCCACAGCTGCTTGGTGAGCCCCTTGAAAAGCAGCACAAAGTTGCCAACGCTATTCTGCTCAAAATCTCACTATAGAATCCCATGAAGGAGAATCTATGAAGATTTCACTGAAAATTGATCTGTTTCTAGTTTTAAATTAGCAAATTAGTTCCTCCAGTACTATTTTTTTCAAAAGGTATCTTGAAGGTTTTATTGAACCTACTGTTTGCAAAATAATGGAAAAAAGTCTACTGAATTGTCGACCTCTAGATTCTAGAGTTTAGAAGATGAGAGAGAACAGGGATAGGAAAGTGATCTTGCAGACACAGCTGCGGTGTGGGTGGTGCTGACACTTATTTCATGTTCCGTGGGCAGGTATCCAAGGGTATTCTGGGAGAGTTTTGTTTTCTATGTGCACTCAAGTCATATGAAAACACTGGAGCAATTTTTTTTTTTAGATATATTTGAGATTTGACTCTGAGTTGAGCTTTTCTGAATATGCAGACGCACAATTACATATTATCTAGGATTTGAGGCTCCCGTTTGATATGCAAGTGATCAAATGTACCATTTCCACTAGATGGCATTAGAAACTTCCGAAGCCATGAACTAATTACTAGTCACCTTTGTTAGGCTATAAATTACACCTGCATGTTTTAAGAGGTAATTGGCAATCGACTTTCTGGTGTGTTTTAACTCTGATGCCAGGTACATGGTTAAGACATTGGTATCAGATCTCTCCCGCAACATAAATAGCTCCTGGGATTATCAGAATGTAATTCTACATCTTATATTCTGAGCGAGAGTTTTGAAAGCAACTTATACCCTCACCCCACTGTAAATAAAAACCAAGTAATACTTCTATCCTGGCTGGACAATCAGCTTAGAGCAAACACATTAGGTAGAAAGGGTAAGCCAAAACTTTTGTTTTCCAGGATGGAGAGGAATTTTTATTTATTTCTTTTGAAGGGGATGCCATGTTTCAAACATGAGGGGGGCAAAAAAAAAAAAACAATTCTGAAGACTTGACAATTTCTTCAAGTGGTTGTTACAGGGGAAATGTGTAAGTCTTTAAATTATAAATGAAAACTTACAGCATCTACAATGGGTATACATCCCAGTATTTCTGAAAAGTCTTTGTTTCTTTAGATGTTCTAACTACACCAAGAAACCCTTGGTGTGTGTATGGGGGGGTGCGGGTCTGTGCGGGAGTGCATGTATCTCTTTCTTTTTCCCAGTGGTGTCTCTGTGGCTGCGTTGCCGCCACCGCTGTGCCTGCTTCCTAGCCTGGCTTTCATCATTTCTTCCTGTTGATTGGTGTCACCTCGCATGCTTAGAATGTCTGCCTGTCTGTTCAGAGTGTGAACACATTCCTCAGAATGCTGATTTGCTCGTTTCACACCAGTGTCAAAATGACTTATTAAATTCAGCACCTCCTGATACTCAGTGGCTGATGTGTTGCTGTCCAAACAGTAAATGACAATAAGCATATGCAGCTGGTGGGCCTAGCAAACTCATTTAATTTGATAAAAATGTCACCGCAACATGCTTTAAATCGCTGTCCTTTTCATCATTGCTAATTGCTAGCTATAGACCTTTTTCCTATGCGCAATACAAGTGTTAGAATACTGCTCCTTCCAGCCTGATTAAGAATTTAAAAAAAAATGTAGAATTCCTTTTCAGTGGCAGCATTATTTCATCAAGAGATGGATTTTGCTCTTAATTAGCCAACATGCCACTAGGGAAGCTTCAGAGTCATGGGTGTGAAACAGCCTCAAGCAGGAGATCAATCTAAAGGAAAAAAATGGTGGCTGGGGAATAATTGGCAGCTCCGGTGAACGTGGGCTGGTTATAACAGTGACAATATGTTCCACTGGAATATCACAAACCTCTCTCTCCTATTTCCAACTTGGCACATTTCAAGCTCAACAAAAGCTATATCCCATGGTTATTTGTCTATTGTCTTGTATTTTTTTTCCTTGCTGCTTCATTGAGGGTTTCTCATGTATTGGGTTGACAATCTGGACATTTCCCCCAAATGGATTAGGGGATTAGGAAGGAATATGAATTCTAAAAATAATAATCCTTCAGGAGCTTGGTACTTAAAAACAGATCTGGAACTGATCCATATACCAGAAAACAGGCAAACCTGCACTAATTTGCTAAACCCAAATGTTGATTTAAAACACACACACGCACACGCACACGCACACGTACACGCACACGCACACACACACTAAATTTAAACTGTTTTTGAAGGATGTCTACCATTGAATAGTGCCTGAATCTATTATTCAGTTTTTTTTAAAAAAAGGCAACATAAAAAATTTTCCAAATTCAGTTGATATTTAATTAGGTTCAAATTCCTTTTTTTTTTCTTTTAAAATAAACTTTGTGTGTGGAGCTAATTCCTGGAGCCAGAAGCTAACAACCATGCAGACCAGGGGATCCTCTGCCCATCCCTTAGCGCCTCCTCCCAGCAGGAGGCTTTATCCTGAATCTGACGAGTACAAAATGGACAGAAGAAAAAGCTGCCCTTCTTCCTGATACTCTTGCATTTTAGCTAGCATCTAGCATTATTTTCTGTTTTATTTGTGTGATTGGATGTATTCTTAAAGTTTTTCATGGACAAAAACATCACAATCATTTTGGTGCCAATTCTAAGTCATCTCCCTTGTTACCTACTATTAGTCTTTCTGTTTTGTTGGGCCAACCTAGAAGACATGGGTAACCTACTTTGAAATAAATGTTTGTCTTCATCCTCACTCTGCATCTAAAGTTAAGAAACACATTTTGGTAACTTAGCCTCTCAGGCTGTGAGAGGTTATTTCATTTTCTCTTCTCTTTGTGTGCTTGTGATGCCTCCTCTTCTAATTTGTACAAGAAAACCTTGTACAAGAAGACCTTGTCTTTCCAGCAAGGTCCACCAACACTTTCATTGAGCAATGAGGAGGAACTCTGTCCTCTCCCAGATTGCCAGTGGTTTACCTGGTAGTTCAAAGCGAGAAGGGACTAAAGGTTCTGTGTCCTGATTAACATGACAGAGGTGGTTGTTAGTAACCTTATTAGAGTTTCCAGAAACTGCTTTTGGATACTGATGTGGGTGTGTGTGCCTCACACCTGGCAGATACATGGTGGAAAGTGAAGCTGGTTCCCCAGTGGTTGCTGTGTTGGCATACGGGAACCATCCAGGTTTTCAGCCTGTCCAGAACCTCCCCTTCTTCAGCTACAAATAAGCACCTTACCTTTCCATTTCCAAATGGGTTTTGAGCCAATTTTTGAAATATTCAGCTCTGTAAGGAAAATCATATTTATACTGTCCTGAATGAGAACTCTGGGTTCTCCAGAGTTCTCTGGGTTCTCTTTTTTTCTAAACACAAATTGCGTCATCCTGTGTGGACCATCCTGCAGCTTGCACTGTTAACTAAGTCAGCCAGGTTGTACTGTGGAGACCCAGGTCATTCCTTTGGAGAACTCCTTGGGCTCTCATACAAGAAAAAGAGCAGGGTGTTTTTTTTTGTTTGTTTGTTTTAGCAATTTCTCTTCATTTTTTAAGTTAGAAACAGAGGCCCAGAGAAGCTAAGTCACTTATCCCAGGTCTCCTAGCTACTAAAAGCAAGATTGTGGGTGGGACCCCAGGCTGGGTTGATTCTCCAATGCATAGGGATCCTTCTGTATCATCAAGTTCCCCCTTGAATGCTACCTTCGTTCTCTCCCTCTGTATGTCTGTCTAACTGCTTCACTCTAGTTTCATTGGGTTCCAGATCTGTTTCTGCTATGAGTGTCTTCATTCAGACACCACATGTTTACCAACGTAGAAAGAACAAACACTTTGAAAAACATTCTTCACAGACACCATGGCTTTCGAGATTTTAATATTTGATGTGATTTTGCCACCAGTATTGTTTCCTAAGCCCTTGGGCTATCCTAATCCTACAAATCTTTTAAAGACTTTCCGCCAGCAGGTTCTCCTTCCAATATTCAATAGGAAAGCATGTAGGCGAGATATGGAAGCAATTGCTTGGGGGAAATATTGCCCTCATAAGCATGAATATGATGATCAGTGGTTCCTGGACAAATATTTATGATGGTATCGTGTGTCAGCAGGAGTTTCTGTTTTTGAAATAGCTGCAACATCAGAATGGGAGGATAGGCTCAGTGACTCAGTTGCTTTATAAATGAAATGGTCTTTATCCTTCCTTCAAAAGATTTCTTAGTGTTTGGGACTCAGTGATTAATCCTAAATAGGATCCATTCTTGAAAATGATCCATTTAACGAAGCACTCAATTCTGTGAGTTGTAGTGAATGAACTAGCTCACAAAAAAAAAAAAAAAAAAAGATTTTGTTAAAAAGAGTCCTGTTTGTAAATTCTGCTTAGCCATGGAATGAACTAATTTTTGCATCCCAGTACCAAGATTTGGAACTTCACATAGATGTATTTGAACATAAAATTTTAAAGTCATTGTTGCCCCGGCTACATGCTTCAGACCCCCCCATCGACCACCTGGTTAGTTTTCTGAGAGTTTCTGCGGGAAAGGTTTACAATGGCTGGTTCCTGGTTTGATGTCATATCGATAAATTATGGTGCTTTAAACAGATGTGATCTCACAGCGTGGAATCCTTCAGGGTAAAGCTCGTGAAAAGGTTTCTTTCCCCCCTTGGTTTCATTGTAGTTTTGTTGTTTGGAGGTTTTATGTTGTTCATTTAGTTTCCTGGCTATTGGGGTTTTATAGTCGTATTTCCTTTGTTTAATATAATTTCCTTTTTTCTTTTAGCTATTTTTGTTAGGGTGCCCAGAGGCTTCAGTTATGAGTGGCTGTAAAGTAAAATACATTATGATTATTACAATGATAAAGTATAAGCTTTTAAGAGTCTGCTTATATTGACCCATATATCCTCTTTCTCCCTCTCTCCAAGATACACACAGAGGCACATTGAAAACACAATAGAAAACAGATGCCAGTTTAGAAGCAGAAGAGCGAACCCAATGTACAGCAAGAGAAGATCAAACTGGACCAGCTCCCAGCAGAAGTGAGGCTGGGAATATTGGATCCTGTAGCTTCTCTCCTCTGTGAAGTGTCAGGAGATATTGGCACATGGTCTTGAGCTTGATTTTCACTGCTTTTTTCCTAACCTTTTCCAAGCTACCTAACTCCCTGGAGTCTTAGTTTTCTTATCTGTGAATCGGGAGATCATATGTTCTTCATCCTGAGGTTGGTGTGAGGTGGAATGAAATAATGTGTGCAAAGCACCAGGCATGGTTTCTAGCATATAGTAGGTGCTCCATACACGTGAACTAGCATGAGTTATGAACTCTATTCCTTCTAGCTCCTGCATGGTATCTGGTCTCTGGTGCTCTGGGTTCCCTGAGACATGGGAGATTTCACCAAGCAGTAAGTTCACTTTTGTGCTTGGTGCCTCAACACTTAGGTTTGTTGAGCCACCTGCTCCCTTCTAGTCACAGATTCCACACTCCATTCAGATGGAATCTTGCTTCTGCTAGCTGTTGGTTCATGACCACTTGAATGTGAAATGATAATGATTTATGAATGCCACCCTTTCAGATTGCAATTGCAATATTATAAGTTTTGTTTTAATTTGTTTGGCAATAGAAAGGCATTGAGAACAAAAGGAAACTCTCTAATGGTGGAATATAGATATTGGAGCACATTTTTGTAGAGGGGAAGGAGGCTTTCAAGTTAGACCCTGCTACTGTTTTTAAAATAGCTGCAACATTGGAACAGGAGCATAGCTGCTGAGTCTCTCTTCCCATACTCTTCTCTTCCATTCTGGGTAGAATAGTATCCTCCAAAGTTCATGTCCACCTGGAAACTGTGAATATTGAAAACAGGGTCATTGCAAATATGCTCAAGGTGGGATGCGGTCATCTTGGCTTAGGGTGCATCCTGAATCTACATAAGAAGAGGGAAATTTAGACACAGAGGCAATCAAGCAAGTGAAAGCAGAGGCAGAGAGAATGAGATATGTCTGCAAGTCAAAGAGCAACATGGATTACTGACAACCCTCAGGAGATGGAAGAGGCAAGAAAAAAATCTTCCTTATAGCCTTTAGGAGGAACATGGCCAACTTCTGACTTCAGACTCCTAGCCTCCAAAACTTTAAGAGAATAAAATTCTGTGGTTTTAAGCCAGCCAGTCTGTGGTGTTTTGTTACAGCAGCCCTAGGAAACTAATACACTGCCTAAGAAGGATGTTTGCTGAATGTTGAGAAGCTTGGTTGGCCAATAGGGAGGGGTTGCAGGGAGATTTCCGTGGCAGGCAAGTGGTGTTGCTAGATGAGTGCTTGCATTTTCGGGGTACACCATGAGGGTAGTCCTCTTCATCTGGGGGAAGGGGCATGCAGGCTGTGTGCCAGCATGGGATTATGACGTTGCTGTATTCAACGAGAGTTACTTTCACTTTACAAAATGAATGTGCTCTGAAATATTCCATGTGAGTTAAATCTTCTTTGAATTTCTCTGGAAGTGGAGTTTGAGGGGATCATTGATGTTAAGAGACTATGAAGCTTTTTACAAAGAAAAAATTCACTTCCCTTCTAATCTAGGCTTTTTTTTTTTGGTAAGTTTCCATCCTTATACTTATGAAAGTGAGCACTTTCTGAAATGCTAGCAAGAGCCCAAGAAGGTTTGGGAGCATGGAGGGGGGCTGACTTTTTCTTGTTTTCTATAGGGAAAAAAAATCATACAATTTTGCTAATTTAAGAATTTGAGAATGATCTCTTAGACACTTGATAATATATTTCTGAATGTTAAGGAATAGAATTTAGCCAGAAGAGCCTATTGTGGTCAAAATAGAGGAGGCCTTACTGGGTCATTGGAAATAGCAGAGAAAAGTAGTGTTGTTGAACCTTCTAGTCAACAAACATTTTACAAGTGCCTGCTATGTGGTAGACACTCTACTGGGCACCTGGGGAGAAAGATAGCAAATAACTTTCATCTTTACCATCAATGACATTGGGGGAGGCAAGACAGGACTTATAAATATTCAATAACAACAATAGCTAATACTTCTGAACACCTACCACATGCCAGGTTCCATGTCAGATTCTTTACATGCAGGTCGCAGTCATGCCTTATAACCCTATGAAATAGATTCTGTGACTGATCCCCTTTTGCAGATGAGGAAACTGAGGTTTAGAGAGACTTGCCTAGTATCATTCAACTAAGCTAGTGATAAGGATGAAATTCAAACCTAGCTCTGGGAGCATGCTTCATCATTACAAATGATTGAGACGTAGTGGTCTCCTGGGCTCAAGAGTCAGACCCCCCAGGGCCAAATCTCATGCCCATCCACAGCTATGTCCTTGAACAAATTACCTTCCTGTGCCTCAGAGGAGGCAAAAGGGAGTACCCACTTCATAGTGATATTGTGAGAATGATTTAGTCTGCTGCAGGTAAAGTATTTTACATAAAAAAAGGGGCTCAAAGAATCTAGAAAACTTAAATAAGGGACCAGGAAAATGAATAACTATAAGAAAGTGAAAATCAAAATCAACAAAAAACTTTGAACCAGAGACACTCTATGGAGGGTGGGGGGCAGGGAGGGGAGGGATTGGGGTCAAAATAAGGGGGTTGCAATTGTGTGGGGAATATAAAAATAAAATTTATTTAAAAAAAAAGAATGTTGACAACAATAGTGCCTCATTTCACAGTCTTGCATCAAATAGTCCTTGGTTCTACAATTTGAATTTAAAGTCCAATGCATTGCCCATCTGGGCCCCTTTGATAACATTAGTTCTATCTAGAAAAATTACCCCCTTCGCTCCCCTGCTGTCCAGATCTGGAAAAAACACAAACCTCAGGCTTCGCTCTTTACTTTACTGGAAGAAAAGCAAATGTGGCTGGTCTGGGTTCAGGAAAGAGAAGGGACATCGATCCATCTTTCCTACCCTCCAAGAAAAGGAGAGACCAATTTAGCTTATGCAAGATCACTGTAAGGATGGGAACAATACCTTAGGAGGAGTTCCTATTTTGTCAAGGCCAACTGTGCTACCCGTTATCCCTTTAACATGCTTCTTCAACTCACGGGCAGTTGGGAATTTTACACAAACACTTCCACATCAGCTGCATCGTCTGGGGACAGCCCTACCATCTGTGCCTGAGATGTTGAAAATGATTCTTCTAAATATCCTCTTAGGCAGCTTTGGGATGATTTCAAACTTAAGAAGTCGTGGGTAGAAAACTGTCTGGCTTTATTTTTTAGGACTTACCATTTCTAATCAGAGTAGACAGGCTGTAAAATTCTAGATTTTGTCAATTTCTTTTCTATGTTGAGCAGCATCCTTGCTCTATATTGGCAGTCCTTTCCTTACTATAAGCCAAGGCATGGTCATAAACCTGAGTAACAGGTACAATGTGTTTAGAATATATTATTATTTGTTACTGGGAAGGTTTATAGCAGGCAACACACCTTAAACAAACGACCTCTAAATGTTTGCATTACAAAGGACTGTATGTTTAAACATACTCAACTTATCTTTGTTAGGGCTTGTATCTCTTTGCAGATGACTCCCCATCTACTTGTGATTACTGCTCATTTCCTTCATGGAGAGTTTTAGAAACCAACAAATGTGAATGAATTAGTGCTATGGACCCCCCCAGATGCTGAGCCACACTTAAGGGATATCTAAGGGTGAGGACAGGACCCTGTTCATTCAGGTCAGTTCTGTTGGCTGGCTATCAGAAGGAATGTTGCTGCCCTTGAGATTTTGGGGAAGGCAGTGCGCTATGGTGTTAAGAATATAGACTTGGAAGCAGATGGACTTGGATTTAAATTTCAACTCTACCACTTATTAGTTGAGGAGTTTCAGCTCTCACACAGTTACTCTTTCACATTATTTTGTCTTCTTCAATGGGCAATACTTTCGCAAGTTGGAAAAATTTTAAGGGCTAAAAATAAATATCATTAAAATCTTGTCTTCTCTTTCTATCTATCTTGCTTACCCATTCCCTGATTTTATAGGGTTCTATAGGCAACCATTGTTATTAGATTCTTATTGTTCTTTCAGGTGGTTTTTAAAGGAAGTATTTGAAACTCTAAATATATATGGCTATTTTACTTCCATTTTTATTTCAAAGGTAATTCCATGGTCTGGAACATTATTTTTCATTTTTAAGATCAGAGCGTAAAGATCTTGCTCATTTTTTATAGCTGCATAGTATTTCATTACCTGAATGTACCATTGTTTATTCAACCACATTCAAACACTATTGCTTTGTTTCTAGTCTTTTGCTATTAGAAATAATGGTACAATGAATAACTGGTATATATGCCTGCATATGCTGTTGGAATAACTCTGCTGGCAATGGGTAAAGGCATCTTTAATTTTAACAGTGATTGAACTATGTGGTTCTAATTTATTTTCAGAACTTGCTTTAACCAAATGGTGGTTGGGATGATGTTTTCATTTCAAAGTAAAATGTATTTTAAGGTTGAGTCCAATGAAAATAATTATATTTACTTCTAAGTGTATAATACAGTGGTCAAGAGTATGTATGTTGGAGTCAGACAGTCCTGAGATTGACTATTAGTCTTAACACTTAATGGCCGCCCTCTCTGAACTTCAGTTTCCATCAAGTGTAAAATGCCCACCTCCTTGAGTTGTTGTGAGGATTAACTTAGGCAATGAATATGAAGTGCTTAGCACAGAACAACATTCAATAATAGCAGCTATTAATTGTCATTAGGCAGAAAGTTTCAAGTTTGTTTTTTAAATTTTCTTGCCTACAGGTCCTGGAACAGAGCTGATCTAAGAAGTAGGTGCTCAGTAAATATTTATTGATTGGGTACTGTAGCAACATCTTTGAAGACATTATTACTTGCTTCCTTCCAAGTCTTCTTTCTGAGGACAAATCTGGGGACAAGTCTCAGTATTAACTATACTTTTAAATAAGCAGTTTGATTTTTCTTTTGTGGTCATTGGATTGTGTAATGGATTGTGTTTCCCTCTTTTCGCCTTAGCTGCTAGGAGGCTCAGAGCCAATTTTTTTTTTTTTGTTCTCTAACTAGTATACAGATCTCTAGAACAGGTGTCCTGTAAACCAGTGTTTCTTAATCTTGGCTGTATAGTAGAAGAACCTGGGGTACTTAAAAAATGTCCTATTAGATCACACGCTGTACCAATTAAGTCAGGGGACTCTGCCATCAGTACATTTTAAAACTCCTCAGGGGATTTTAATGCACAGACAAGTTTGAAAACAGGTATCTAAACTAAGCTTACCCCTACTTTTCCCAATCCTTATTTTTCTTCCATGGTAATAAATACTTCTCTTATACTCTCCATTTATCTTTTCTCTTTCCATGTGGAAGTAATACGAGGTTTCTTATGAGTCATCCACAATACAATGCTTGGCAATAAGGAGACTGAAGGAACAGAGGAGGAAATTGGGTTCCTTTTGAGAAAAATTAATTTATTCAGGCGTGCATCACTCATCTATATTCAACAAATATTTATGAAGTGTTTTGGGCTCAGCTCCATGTTTGCGGGATGGGAATTACCTCTACATTTCGTGGAAATGACATCTAAGAGAGATCCTTCCTAGCGAATATGGTTTTTAGGCATATGATAATTTCAGATTGTTTAATAAGAGCTGTGCTTCTGACATTTCTTTTGCCCTCCAGGGAGGATCTTGGCATTTACCCAGAGAAACATCCTAACTGTCCACAGCAGGGTGTGGTAAGGAACCTAGAAACATGTCAGTCACTAGAAGGCGTTGTGGCCCCAGGAAAGCCAAGTATTTGTATGATGAGGCATAGAGTGGATTTTGGCTTATGTCTTTCATCACTTGGCCTAGTCCTTTGTCAGATGAAAAGGTAGCCCCTGAGAGCATTAGCGGAAACAATCATCGGCCTAAGCTCCCTGTGAGAGAAGCAGACTTAGTCGAGAAGGCCTGGCAGTCTCTGAAAGGACCAACTACAGTGGCAGGGATCCTCATAAACACAGACCCACCGTGCTCAGAGCCACTTTCCCTCTGGCCCTGGCCACCATGCCTCTGGGCTGTGTGCAGACTCCGGGGGAAGGGTGTCCACAGCAGTGGGGAGGCGAGGAGAAACAAGCAAAGCAAAGAGGTGCCTGCAGGCCCCAGTGACAGGGTAATCTGGAGATTCACTGACAAATCTCTGG